TATAGGTCTCTCATATATGGCCGTTATTACGTTGAGGCGTGTTCCTTTTATACCCAGTTTTTAGAGAGGTTTTTCTTTTTTTTTTTTTTTTTTTACCATAAAGCGATGCTGAATCTTATCAAATATTTTTTCCACATTAGTTGAAATGATCATATGGTTTTATTTGTTTGTTCTTTTGGTATGATGTATCCTATAGATTGATTTGCATATGTTTGAACTATTCTTGGATTTCTGGGATAAATCCCACTTGGTCATGATGAATGATCTTCTTAATGTGTTGTTGAATTTGGTTTGATAGAATTTTGTTGAGGATTTTTGCATCAGTATTCATCAAGGACATTAGCCTTTAGTTTTCTTTTCTTTTTTTCCCTACGTGTCTTTTTCCGGTTTTGGTATCAGGATAAGACTGACCTCATAGAATGAGTTTGGAAGGCTTCTCTCCTCTTCTGTTTTTCAGAATAGTTTGCGTATATTGGTATTATTTCCTTTCTAAATGTTTGGTAGAATTAGGCAGTGAAGCCATTGGGTCTTTTCTTTGCTGGAGACTTTTTATTACAGCTTCAATCTCATTACTTGTTATTGATCTGTTCAGGTTTTGGATTTCTTCATAGTTCAATCTTGGTAAGTTGTATGTGTCTAGGATTTCATCCATTTCTTCTAGGTTTTCCAATTTATTGGAATACAGTTGTTCATAATAGCCTTTAGTTTAACATAGCTTAACAATTATGTCTTAAAATCCTTTGGATTTCTGTGGTATCAGTTGTAATGTCTTCTTTTTCATATATGATTTTATTTATTTGAGTCTTCTCTCTTTTCTCCTAGTTATTTTGGCTAAGGGTTCATCAATTTTGTTTTTCTTTTCAAATAACTATTTTTTTGTTTTGTTGATCTTTTGTATTGTTTTCTTCATTTCAATTTCATTTATTTCTACTCTGATCTTTATTATTTCTTTTCTTCTATTAATTTTGTGTTTGGTTTGCTCTTACTTTTCTAATTCTTTAATATGCATTATTATTATTATTTTCTCTTTCTTTCTTTTTTTTTGAGACGGAGTCTCAGTCTGTCGCTTAGGTTGGAGTGCAGTGGTGCGATCTCGGCTCACTGCAACCTTCGCCTCCCAGGTTTAAGCGATTCTTCTGCCTCAGCCTCCTGAGAAGCTGGGACTACAGGCTCACACCACCACGCCCAGATAATTTTTGTATTTTTATTAGAGACAGGGTTTCACCATGTTGGCCAAGATGGTCTTGATCACCTGACCTTGTGATCCACCGACTTCATCCTCCCAAAGTGCTGGGATTACAGGTGTGAGCCACCACACCTGGCCCATTGGGTTGTTTATTTAAAGTTTTTCTTCTTTTTTGATGTAGGCATTTATAGTTATAAACTTCCTTCTTAGTGCCACTTTCACTGTATCCCATGAGTTTTGGTATGTTGTGTTTCCATTATTTTTTAAGAAAATTTTAAATTTTCTTCTTAAGCTTTTCATCGACCCACTGGTCATTCAGGAGCATATTGCTCAATTTCCATGTGTTTGTAGAGTTTTCAAAATTCCTCTTGTTATTGATTTGTAGTTTGTGGTCAGAGAAGATACTTGATACTGTTTCAGTTTTTTTGGATGTTGTAAGACTTGTTTTGGGAGCTAACATATGGTCTCTCCTTGAGAATGATCCATGTGCTGGATTCATATTTGTGTTCTGTAGCCATTGGATAAAATGTTCTGTAAATATTTATTAGCTTCCTTTGGTCTATAATTTGGATTAAATCCAATGTTTCTTTGTTGATTTTTTGGGGGGGTCTGGAAGTTCTGTCCAATGCTGAAAGTGAGGTGTTGAAATCGTCAGCTATTATTGTATTAGGCTCTCTCTCTCTCTTTTGCTTTATATATCTGGTGCTTCAATGTTGGGTGAATACATATTTATAACTTTTATGTCCTCTCGCTTAATCTTTTTATCCTTATATAATGATCTTCTTTGTCTCTTCTTACAGTTTTTGTCTTAAAATCTATTTTGTCTGATATAAGTATGCTACTCCTGCTCTTTTTTGGTGTCTATCAGCATGGAATATCTTTTTCATCCCTTTATTTTCTGTGTCTCTGTCTTTACGAGTGACATGTGTTTCTAGTAGACAACAGATTATTGGGTATTTTTTAAAATCCATTCAGCTACTTTATGTCATTTTATTGGAGAGTTTAGTCTATTTACATTAAATATTCTTATTCATAAGAAAGGTCTTACTGCTGCCATTTTGTTATTTGTTTTCTGGTTTTCTCTTCTTCCTTTTTTTCTTCCTTTCAGTGAAGGTGATTATCTCTAGTGGTATGCTTTAATTTCTTGCTTTTTTATTTTTTGTGTATCCATTGTATGTTTTTTGATTTGAGGTTACCATGGGGCTTACAAATACTATCTTATAACCCATTTTTTTAGGTGATAATACATTAAAACTGCTTGCATAAAGAAACTAACAAGCAAAAAGAAAACTAAAAAAAACCTCTACATTTTAACTTTGTCCCCCTGATTTTTAACATTTTGTTATTTTTATTTCTATTTTATTGTACTGTCTATGTCTTGAAAAGTTGTTAATATTTTTGGTTAGTTCATCTTTTAGTCTTTCTAGTTAAGAGTAGTTTATACATCACAGTCACAGTGTTATAATATTCTGCATTTTTCTGCTTACTTACTATTTCCAGTGATCTTTGTACCTTCAGATGAATTCTCATCGCTCATCAACATCCCTTCCTTTCTGATTGAAGTACTCCTTTTAGCATTTCTTATAGCATGGGCTGGTATTGATGAACTCCCTCAGCGTTTGCTTGTCTGGGAAAATCTTTATTTCTTCTTTTTGTTTGGAGGATATTTTCACCAGATATAAAGGTAAAAGTTTTTTCCTTCAGCACTTTAAATATGTCATGCCACTCTCTCCTGGCCTGTAAGGTTTCTGCCGAAAAGTCCGCTGCCAGTTGTATTGGAGTTCCATTGTATGTTAGTCACTTCTTTTCTCTTGCTGCTTTGAGAATTATTTATACATGACCTTGGGGGATTTATTGAATTCCTTGAGGTGATCTTCTTTGGGTTAAATCTGCTTGGTGTTCTATAACCTTCTTGCACTTGGATATCAATACATTTCTCTTGGTTTGGGAAGTTCTCTGCTGTCATCCCTTTGAATAATCTTTCTACTCCTATCTCTTTCTCTACCTTTTCTTTAAGACAAATAACTTTTAGATTTGCCCTTTAGAGACTATTTTGTGGATCATTAAGGTGCACTTCACTCTTTTTTATTTTTTTTTTCTTTTGTATCCCTTACTGTGTATTTTCAAATAGCCTATTTTCGAGCTCACTATATCTTTCTTTTGCTTGATAAATTCTGCTATTAAGAGATTCTGAGGCATTCTTTAGTATGTCATTGCAATTTTTTAACTGTTGAATTTCTGCTTGATTCTTTTTTTTTATGTCAACCTCTTTGTAAAATTCATCTGATAGTGTTCTGAATTTTTTATCTCTATCATCTTGAATTTCTTTGAGTTTCCTCAAAATAGCCATTTTGAATTATCAATCTGAAAGGTCACATATCTCTCTTTCTCCAGGATTGGTCCCTGCTGCCTTGTTTAGTTCCTTTGGTGAGGTCATGTTTCCCTGTATGTTCCTTATGCTTGTCAATGTTTGTTGATATCTGGGCATTGATGAATTAGGCATTTATCAGAGTCTTCATAGTCTGGGTTTGTTTGTGCCATCCTTCTTGAGCAGGCTTTCCAGGTATTCAAAAGGACTTGGGCCCCCAAGCCCAGTAATGCTGTGGTTCATGTAGACTCATAGAGTTACCACTTTGGAGGTCTTGGACAAGATCCAAAAGAATTCTCTGGATTACCAGGCAGAGATTCTTGTTCTTTTGCCTTAGTTTCTCCCAAACAAATGGAGTCTCTCTGTGCTAAGCTGCCTGGAACTGGGCGTAGGGTGACGCAAGCACCCCTGTGGCCACCACCATTGGGACTGTGCTGGGTTAGACTGGAATCCAGCACAGCACTAATCTCACCCAAGACCCACTGTTACCTCTACCTGGCTACCACCTATGTTTGTTCAAGGCCCAACCCTACAATCAGCCAGTGGTAATCCAGTCATGTTTTTGTCTTTCCCTTCAGAGCTGTGAGTTTTCCTAGTCCCCAGAAAGGTCCAGAGATGCCATCCAGCATCCTTCTTATTTGTTCTAATAATTTGTTGATTTTGTTAGGTTTTCTATGTAAGTTTTTCAATGTGCAAATATGACAAGTTTTGTCTTTTCACTTCCAAACCTTACACATCTTAGACTTCTAAAATTCTCTTGTAGCATAAATTAAAACCTCCAAGATTTATTTAACTATAGTTGTGATAGTGAGTATTCTTGTTCTTTTCTAATTTTAATAAGAACTGTATAAAATTTATTATTATTCTTACTGTAGATTTTTAGTGTATCTAGTTTCCGTGTTATTAAAAACAATTTCTTTTTTTTTTGAGATGGAGTGTAGCTCTGTCACCCAGGCTGGAGTGCAGTGACACAATTTCACCTCATTGCAACCTCTGCCTCCCAGATTCAAGTGATTCTCCTGTCTCAGCCTCCCAGGTAGCTGGGATTACAGGCACCCACCACCATACCCAGCTAATTTTTCATATTTTTAGTAGAGACAGGGTTTCACCATGTTGATCAGGCTGCTCTCGAACTCCTGACCTCAGGTGATCCGTCTGCCTTGGCCTCCCAAAGTGCTGGGGGATTACAGGCATGAGCCACCGCGCCCGACTAATAAAATAGGTATTAATAAGAAAAAGTGATAGGTGAAGTGTCAGTAACCAGAAATGGGCTCCTGTGTAGGCTACCAGCTGGATAATAAAGCCCTGAATAACCAATAAGTGAGCATGAAAGTAAAATTTTGAATGTTCCTTATGTGTGACTAGCTTACAACCGGCCTTTTCAAGACAGTATGATAGTTTTAAATCTTTATTTTTCTTTTATTTACAAACTTATTTACTTTTCAGGTGTATGAAATCTGAAGAGAAGTCCCTTGGTGTGGGATTACATACATTTTGCACAAGAGTATTTGGTAAAAATAGTTATTTTTTTCCACATCCTATCGGAACAATATTAAATACTAGATAAACAAGATAATTATTTCAGAAAAACAGTCTAGCAAGTGTCCCTTCTGTATGTAAAAAGCACATTATAAATATGAGAATGCAGCACACAAAGAGATAGAGCACCTCTTTTACTTGAAAAGGCCCTGTCTGACCTTAATTACACTATTCTTTGAAGATTTGAAAATAAAATGAAAGAAAATGCTCTGCCCAAATAAAATGTACATATAATAGGCCCAAAACATTTAAGAAAATATATGAAGTTCAGAATCTTTAATTGAATGTTTTACCCTACTAATAATTATGCTGCATAATCTTTTACTTTTAAGATTACTTATTAATAATTTAGAAACTTTACAGTAAGAGTAACTCATTTCTAAAAATAAAATTGAGACCATTAGATTTATGTTTTGATAAACTTTGCAGTACAAATAAAGAAAATCAAAATATTTCCAAATAAATCAAGTATCTTAATTCTTGTTGATAGATCTTTCTTTCCCTGTTAATTGCAGCTGGCATTCCTGCACCTATATATTTTGGCGCTTTAATGGATTCCACATGTTTACACTGGGGAACTTTGAAATGTGGTGAGTCAGGGGCATGCAGGATATATGATTCCACCACCTTCAGGTAAAGATAATAATGGGTTTAAAATTGTTTTATAAGCATAGACTATGCATAACACAGCACCATTCATACCTAACTTTTTTTTTTGTCAAGTGAAAAGAATACTTTTGTGTTTATTTCCAGAAGAGATACTGATGTTATATCTCCATTCCTTATTTGCATACTAGAATTGTATTTTCCCATTATTTCTCAAGTGCTTGGTAAATATAAGCATACATGGCTTCCCTAACCTTGGCTTTCAAAGTGTTGTTTGTTAAATTCTTAGAGTCAACACAATATTGAAGGTAATGGTTGTATATATACCATGGATGCCTATCCAATTTATATGGATCTCTAAAGGCTCTTTGTTTTATCCTGCATGATTTCATCATGTCACGAGTCTGAAGCCTCACTTCCTCTCACCACATCTCTGGTCTCCAAAATCATATCTTTTCTCCCTCTTTAAATGTTGCTGAAACAATCTTCTTCATGTCTCCTAATGCCTTCTCCTTGGTAAATACAAGTCTAATTTTGAATAAAACTCTTTGTTCTTTCTATTTTCATCTTCTTTTTCATTAGGAAATTTGAGTCTTGTTTAAATTTGAATTAACTTCTCTTGATGGGGGCAATAATAAAGCTACTTTATTCAGTATAAAACAATTTACCATTGTTTATAGCATTCTAATATATTTGTCGTGATCAGCAAAAGGACATATATCAAGAAGTATGGGGAGAGCAGAGAGCAGGAGATTCATCTCTGCATCCATTCCCGTTTCCCCCAGAGCTCCCCAGGAGCGATGTTGAGGGAAGCTCAGCTACATGCTATGTATGCAGTAGATTTCTACCACAGTTGAGGAACTCCAAGGATCAGTATTGAGGGTTGGCCTCATCTGCTGCTTGGATTCTTGTTGATAGTATCCTGAATCAAATGGTGCTTGAGACACATTAAACAGACTTGGTTCCATTCTCTGTTAGTCAGACCAATTAGACTGGTCAATGAAATGGTGTATCCATGAGAAAATCTACCAGAAGCCAAGATATTCTGGAAATAAGGGTAAATATTGTTGGTAGACAATTCTCCATGGACCCCTACATTACATTTCTGCTTTTCTTGTTAGCAGGGGCACTGAGAGCATTTTTTCTGGACTATATTTTCAAGGATGTTGGAACAGTAAATGACCTTAGAAGATATAAATAGTGTCTCTCTCAAGGACAGAGGGCAGGTAGTTTGTTGTTCATGATGATAAGAAAATGTCTCCCTCTGGGGCAAAGTTTGGGCAGATTTTTTTGAAGCCCATTTAAAAGACTGGGGTTTCCTAAATTCAGGACTTTCTAACTGCGGCCCAAATCCACCGTGTGTACACCGTTTACCTGGTTCTCCCTCTGTCTCACCATTTTGGGACGTGGAGGGTAAGGAAAACCAACCTGAAAATGAAGTTTGTGCTGACTGCTGTGTTGCGAGTGAAAAAAAGTCCTTTGTCCCTGACCTATGAGTCTTGTCTCTTCTGTTAGCATCCTTGAAACTGTGGCAGGCTAGCCTGTTAACTTACAAATGAAGTAAAATCTCAGACTCTTTTACGATTCTTGAGAACAAACTTCTGATTACCTTTACATTTTGCAAAAAAGGTAAAAATGATTAATTTGATTTATTTCAACCAATAGAAGGGGAGAAAATGCAATAGTAGTAATTCTTAAGGAAAAAATCCCACACAAATAAGTTAAAAAACAAGCCTAAGTGATTTAGCAAATTGGTTAAACTTGCTTGTTAAAAGATAGCAATTTTTATACTGGACTTTTCAAAATTTGAACTATATGTTGTTTATAAGAGACAGATCAAAAATATAAAATGATTGAAGATAAGGTTTTAAAAAGATACCAGACATATACTAAATCAACTTCTGTAGTTATATTAATGATTTAAACAAAGTATAAGTTAAAGGGAAAAAATTAATAGGGTTAAACAGGGATATTACTTAATAATAAAAGGAAAACATGAAAAAATATAGAAAAATTATGAACCTATGTAAATCTATCAACATAACCTCAAATATGCAAAACAAAAATTTATAAAATTATAAGAAGAATTCTACAGAATGGAAAATTTCAATATACTTGTGCCACAAATGAATATTAAACACAGATGAAAATGAGTGAGGATACAGTATATTTCAGCTTCAAATTGTACAAGAGTAATCGAATATACAGATAAATGTAAATGAATATATATAATCTATATGAATCTATAATACATCTGTATCTATATCTACATGAATACATGGATAATTGTTAACCCAAATACCAGCACCTATGCCACTAAAAAGTTAAAAAAAAGTATTGATACCACATAAATCCTGTTTTCTGTTCACAATGCAATGGAGATGAAAGCCTATAATAAAAGATGCCCAAACCTCAAATGTTTGAAAAGTAGTAAAAAAATGCAGTCTTAAATTACTCATGGTTAAAAGAATAAATTACAATAAACATGATTAAATAATTAGAACGCTATGTCAATGAAAGCACTGAATAAGAAAACTTGTGGGATGAAGCCAAACCAACCAGTAATCAAAGGGATTTTTAGAGCTTTAAATGTATAAATATATATACACATATGTATATGTTTGCATATGTACAAATATATGTATATAAATATGTATATTAATACATACATATAAGTACATATATACATATTTATTTATATATGTATATAAATAATGTGTATTTACATATATAGATGTATTACATATATAAATATACATACGCAATATATATTCACATATGTATATACACATAGGTATATATGTTTATGTTTATATACACATATGTATAAAATACAATATGTATGTAAATACATATTACATGTAAATACATGTAAATACATATTACATGTAAATACATGTAAATACATATTACATGTAAATACATGTAAATGCAAATTACATATAAAAGGCTGAAAATTGATGAACTTTGAATTTAGAAAAAGAACAATAAAATATATACAAATGATGTAGAACAACCTGATAAATGCCTCAATAATTTACGTATTGATATATTTTCTATCTCAAATAAGAATAAATGATACAATATATTTTTAAAATTCAAAAGGGACATATCTTGGTTAAAAGACAATGAAAACATCATCCTAAACATCTGATTTTTCAGAAATTAAACAGAAACATAAAGGAGTAAACAAAGCTGAATTCACAGGCTCTATGTCTCAAAATGGGCAGTGGTTTCTGGTATCAGCTTCCAAAAGAAGAATAAGGTACTTCTAAGTCAAGAGACTAAATCCAGATTCAATGCTTTAATCCAATTAATGAGGCAAAACACCTTGTACAGGGTTTAGTGTTCCCCAAAATTTGATGTTCACTCAGAACTTCACAATGTGAACTTATTTGCAAATACAGCATTTACGAGTGGAATTAGTTAAATTAAAATGAGGTTATACTGGATTGCAGTAGGCCTTAAATCCAATCACTGGTGTCCATTTTTTTCTGACTCCTAGTAATGTTTCATAATAAAAGCAAATTTTAGAAGTAGAAATATAAAAATGAGAAGCAGAAATTAATAAATAGACTATATACCATAGAGGGTATCAGAAAGTAAAGAGCTATGTTTCTGTAAAGTTGCAAAGGTATTACTAATAACAATACTGTGGAATGGCAAATAAAGAAAGAGAGGAGGCACAAATAAAACATCATTAAGGATGAAAAAGGTAATATAAGTACAGATATTCTAATACTTACATAGGGATTTTAGATATAACAATTTAGAAACATTAAATAGATATTTTTCTAGACAATTATATATTACTAGATTTTATTATAAATCTATAGAAACATGAATATTTTTATAGTTACTTAAAAATGTAAATCCTTCAAAAATGCTCATCTCCCAAAGGCACTAAGTTCAGATGCTTTTCAGGAGAGTCTGATAAAACCTACAATGAACTGATGATTCATTCGTAAATTATGCAATTATTCTCAGAAACAGAAAAAGGGAAAATTTTGTAATTCATTTCACAAAGCTAGTACAATCTTAATAATCACACTGGATAAGTTCAGTACAAGAAAAAAATTTGTAGGCTAATCTTATACATGCAAAAATTCTACATAAAAATTGATAAATTGAATCTAATAATGTGTAAAAATTACAAATACAGTTTATTTTAAGCATGCAAGGATAGGTCGACATCAGAAAATCTATTGGTGTAATAGATGCTAATTAACACAATAAAGGTAGAAAACCTTGGATACTCTTCCGACTACAAGCAGAAAAGTTATTTGGTTATATTTTGCACGTTCATGATTAAAACTTTGAGCAAGCTCATAATAGAAAATAACTTCCTTAATCTGATCAAGGTCATCTAAAGAAACTCTCACAAGAGTATATATTATAATTCATGATGATTCTTTGGAAGCATTCTTACTAAATACTATTCACTGCTATCACTATCAGTATTAATTTTGAGGTGAAGATCCTATTCAATGAAAAGTTAGTTATAACAATAACAAAACATTAGAAAAGATGAAAATAAATTTGGATTTTCTCAATGGGAAATTTAAAAAAATACATGAAACTTTTTTTTGTTGTTTTTGTTTTTGAGACGGAGTCTGGCTCTTGTCGCCCAGGCTGGAGTGCAGTTGCGCAATCTCGGCTCACTACAAGCTCCACCTCCCGGGTTCAAGCCATTCTCCTGCTTCAGCCTCCCGAGTAGCTGCGGCTGCAGGCGCCTGCCACCGCGCCCGGCTAATTTTTTGTATTTTTAGTAGAGACGGGGTTTCAGCGTGTTCGCCAAGATGACGTCGATCTCCTGACCTCGTGATCCACCCGCCTCGGCCTCCCAAAGTGCTGGGATTACAGGCGTGAGCCATCGAGCCCGGCCAACGTAAACATTTTAACAAATACTGAAATTAATAAGAGAGTTTAGTAAAGTTGCTTATATAAGATCAGCATGCAAAACTATCAGCTGCTGTTTTTATCAGAATAAAATATAAAGATATACAAATGTAGTTTGCACTAACCACACTGTCTATGTAATATTTAATATGTTTTAACTTTGAAAAAAATAGATACATCTACCTTGGATTGCCAGCAGCATTAAGAGGATCAAGCTTTGTTCCAGCCTTAATCATCCTAATTCTTCTGAGGAAATGTCAGCTACCTGGTGAAAATGCCTCTTCAGGAACCGAGCTTATAGAGACAAAAGTCAAAGGGAAGAAAAATGAGTGCAAAGATATGTACCAAAAGCCCACGGTTTTGAATGATGATGAATTGAAAACTAAATTGTAATTGCCCTATTATATTACTTTTTTCAGAATTGGAGAACATGCTGTACAACTTAATTATTTTAAAAATCAACAGAGGTACTATAGATAACTTTTTCTTGTCTTTAAGAACCTGAAAAAAAAATTCTTAACTCAAAATAATAAAATGTTCACTAATGATATTTCTAAGATATCAATAACACTTGAGTTTTCCTAGGAGGGTTATCTATAATGGCCCCCTAAAGAAGATTCTTAGAGCCAGCTTTATTTTTATGTTGAAACAGCAATTTCTCTTAATTCATCAAAGTAAGGGTCTACTTCCTACATCTCCTTCTACTAATAGTTCTAAAAATTTTCTGTTATGAAAACCTATTTAATTCCACTAAATTTGTGCTTTGATATTGGAATTATTCAGAGGCCTAAATTCTCATTCTGTTATGTGAAGATTTAAGTATTTTATTCAAGTTTATCACTTCCATGTGAGAGAAGCCTACATCTTCTTATTCTATTTAGGAATCGTTCTTTAACTCTTCTGTTTATTCTAGGCATGACTCCTACATAATAGATTAGTCATAAATATACCTTCCTGCTTTCAATTTTTTCTCGTCTTTGTTACTCATATGTTTGATCAATTTGTACAGCGTACTGACAAACTTAAGCAGGTTATTAAAAAATCATGAGGCAAAGATTGTTGGATTTTTTTTTTTTCCAGCAATTCACATCTGGTGACTAAAGTCTTTCTTAAAAGCAAGTGTCTGAATCAAAGGATGAAAGGACAATATCATAAAAACTCCAGCTCTTAAAGTCTGTTTGTAATGTCAGATATTGTCAAAGAACCACTTTCTCAGACTCAGGACTCTTTCGACCAATGTTTATATCACCCATTGTGTCCTAAGGTAGAACACAAACACTGATTTTCCAAAAATAATCTTAGACAATAGCTTCTGTTATGAAACAGAGTTTAATAAAGGCTAAGGTGCATATTAAAAGCTAAATCTACTTATATTATTATTTTGTAAATTATGGATAAAATTAAAAATTGAAGGATTTTAGATATAGAAGAGGACTTACTGATTAATACAGGCTTCTGGTAAAAGAGGGTAGAATGAACAGACAAATACCTATTTGTCTACTCCTTATTCTCCTTCCTGTTGAAATGACACTCAATATTTAAGAATGACATAAATCCCTAATGGATGAAGATAATGGAGTGAGGAAGGGTGGGAGAAGTGGGTGTCCATACATTATGGTTATTTATGAGTGCCATAAATGGAGAGTGTCTGCAGGGATACAACAGAGTGGAGGAAGCTGAAATACAGAATACACCTAGAAGGAGCCTAGAATGGAAGCGTGAAACTGAGTTGCCAGTTCAGAGTGTGAGTTGGCAGCTGGACAGAAAGCAGGTCAGTTAACTGAAGGACTGTGTACAGATGTTTTACAGGTTAATATGATTTCCCAAAAAAGAAAGCAACTGAGAAGAGAAAGGCTGTATAGAACAGGTTTAAGGGGAAGGATGAAAAGTTTCAGTTTCATGAAGTTTGAGACTTCAACTCAGGGCATATTAAAAATAACCAAGGTTCAAGCTGAGACTGGCCTTGAAACAAGAGAGAGGAACTAAAATCATTGGAAAGGGGGAGTTTAACTTTGATGTAGGTATGACTGCAGCAGTGAGATATCGTATTAAGATCTGATGACATGAAATTTGGAGCCATTTCCTTTGTGGTATGAGGAAGTGAGAAGAATGACCGGGAACCTAAAACAAGGAGAAAAGACTTACCTGTATTCACAGAGCAGTAAGAAAAAGTAAACAGCCACTGCATGAGAAGGTTTTGGGGGAATCAGATTTTGCTGAGTGTGCGATGAGGAAGAGAATACTCATTTCTGAACTGGAATCTGAGACTCATTTCTGAAAACTGGAATCTGAGATAAAAAGTAATAGAGGTATAATGGAAGTTAGACTTGTGAAAGAAAAAGTAGTGTGCGATGAGGAAGAGAATACTCATTTCTGAACTGGAATCTGAGATAAAAAGCGAATAGGAGGTATATGGAAGTTAGACTTATGGAAATTAGAAGAAGGGGAATGAGAGATAGCGTGGAATTCTGGCTATTTATGTGACTGACATAAATGGGAGCAGAGCACATAATGAGGTTAGTTCTTATGGATTCAAGGCAGACAGTGTTGGTGAAACTATGTGTGTCAAAATTAGTCAAGGTGGTGACTGGGCTCCCTGGTGACCTCTTGTCATGGAAGAAAACTGAATAAGCAAAACTTACTCAAGCTCCTGAGGCCCATTCATTATCCCTATTGATAGATTTGAGGTGATCTGAGAAAGCTGTCTTACTTTGTGGACAATTCACCACTTGAACACCCTCAATGGAGCATCATAGGCCCAGAGAGACGTGGCTATGGACTTAGTACCTTGGCCTCACTTTTATCCCCTCATGGAGGAGATGGCATTTTACTCTGAAAGCATAGGATTCTCCTTTGACACTTCTTAGTGGGAGAAAGCAGGTCAGAGAAAGTGGGTGTTGGAGTGCTTTGGGATCCCTCGTGACCTCTGTTGTTGGTATACGTGAAGCCTGGGAGTTTAGTTCTTATTCTGAGCACTTGTACTGTCTCATGAGGGTAGAAATAATGGCATAGCAGACAGATACAGAGAAGAGAAACAAGAGAATAGGTAGTGAGAAGTTGAGAGTCAGCAATTTTCTTACTTAATATTGTGGGTAGTATAAAGTTAATGAAACTAGAAATAGTGGTTTAATACATTACTTGTAATTCAAAAACTATAATATATTTATTACTATATTTACAAATGCTTACACAGTTTCTTTGTGAATCCACCTATGGTTTTATTTTAATTAATTTTTTTATTTCAAAGCAATGAAATGTTGCTTTGTGGAGTCCGATATCATTATATCAGGTAAATGGGTTTCTGCTACATCTCCACATTATTGGGGAGATGCTTGAACACCTCAGAATACACACACTCTTAAGGTTCAAGGGCTGGGGTTGAGCTCTACATAAGGGAATTTTCCTCCTCCCAGAAGGGCGATCATTGTGTAGACAGACATGAAGACAGAACCAGAATGACTTCCGTGGGTGGAAATAGTGCCATCAGAATCATTTATTATTATGAAATAAATATTATTTATCCACACTGAAAAAATACTACTCCTCCTTAAATCATTAACTTCTCCTCAGATGACTTTAAGAAATTTGAGTAACAGCACATGAAGTAGTAAGGACCCTTAGTCTTTCTGGTATATTAGAAGAGCCTTTTAATCAGTCTCTGGAAGGACACTAGGGATTGCAGCTGAATAAATATATTAAGAATAACAAATCAGTTCAACATTGAGTAGAGTCCGAGTTGGAATTTTCCATGGAAATTCTCTTATGTCTCTACTAACAATAAGGAAGACAAAACAAAGACTAAGTAATTAAACAAAAGCTCAAAATGTTTTGTAACCAAAAGCTTTAAATGTTATGTAACCAGAATGTTATGTAACCAGAGCTGTTAGATCAGCTACGGGCTGATTCATAGGTGAACCTCCGCTTTGTGGGTCCTCTCATGCATCCCCATTTTGAGAATGTAAGTAATTTGACTTTGCAGCCCTTCCAAAAAGGGTACTATCCCACTTCTCCTGGCATAAATCATACATTGACTGAACATACACCATCTAAAAATCACTCATGCTGCTTGAACCAAGGTCATTATCAGAGAAAGCTCCTGGTGGAAGAGGTTGTAGATGTTAAAAGGGTATGATTTCTACATCAAAAAATGCAGAAATTGACAGAATGGTTCTTACTTACTGGGCCCGGAGAATTCCTGTTCTGGCATTCTTAGATCCCTCAAATGTATTACCAAGGGGAAAAGGAAAAAGAGGTAAGCAGGCAGTAGGGTAAGCCGTTGTTTGCCTGCCAAGGAACTGGAGAGTGCAGATTTCAGGCCCCCTTGAGGAAATTCTCTTGAGCCCTTAGCCAGGAGAAGAGAGCAGAGAATGCTTTTCTGTAGAATCCCAAGGGGCATAAAAGAGGATGAGTAACTGGGTCCTTTGCCAAGTTCCTGACCCCTAAGCCTTCCCAACATGGAGAAATTACACCAATGTTCAAAAGTTTCTAGGTTGGAGGAAGAAACTTGAGCATCAAGGGCAGATGATTTGTTAACACAGTCCTGTGCAGAGGGCTCCTTTAGAAGGCATTGCCTGTGACCAAAACACAGAGAGCACCTTCTACTTTCTGGCCTTAAGCCATCAATGCGTCCAGCTGTAATCCATCCTCAAACCTGGAATCCATCCCTTGACTTCCCAGTCAGACCACATTCCATCCCATCACTGTGTCCAACCCTGTCCAGAATGCATGCTGTTCTCCCAGACTCTCATGGAAATGAGGACTTGCACTGAAACAGGCTGTGGGAAACAAAAGGATAAGGAGGTCTGGACCAGTCTGTAATGGTAGCAGGTGAAAACCACCTGTGGAAAAACACATGAGTTCATTAGGAAATAAGGTGACAGATCCCCAGCTGGTGAAGAACTAGAATGTCTATTATGCTCATACAATTGATGTTTTATTTTAATACACCAGAGCTACCACACAAAACTTCCCTCCGTGTGAAAGTCTCCAGATAAAATTCCGCCATCCCTCCTCTCCTCATGTCCTCCTGCTCAGACCCACCTTCCTGCCCCTAAACCAATCTGCATTGTGCCTGTTTCAGAGAGTCATGGGAAGATGGGCAGTGCCTCCACTGTCACCATTCCCCACACCTCTGCACATTTCTGCCCCTTCCCCTCTTGACTCCACAACTTCACAGTCTTACTGTTGTAAATATTCCTGTAGTTAGTAATGATCAAATGATCCTGTGGTCAGAGGCTTCTTTGGTGGTGTCTTCTTACCCTTAAGAGAGGTCATGAAATCCAGAAGGGGCAACCTTTCAAGGAGAGCTTTGGAGTCATTTCTGTGTGAGACACTATTGCATATTCCTGTAAGATTGCTTTTATATTTAAGGAATGATGTTACTTAACAAATGAACAAAAAAATTGCAAATAAATTTCTTAACAATGTCTACATTGGCTTAATCATATCTTCTCTCTTCCATGTCCCTTCCTTTCTCCTCTTCCCTCGAGGTCACAAAAATATACTCCACTTCCAATTATTTCAGTTGTCTCCCCTTCTGCAAAGGGGAGAAAGGCTGGAGAGAACATGGGAAACATGAATCCAATGATAATACCTAACCTCAGTCA